GAGTGGGTGGGGTATACGGAATAGAGTGGGGCGATAGGAGGGTGGGCACCTGGGAGGCTCGGACACGCCCCTGGTCACTTTTGAGTCGACTCAAAAGTCACCTCGTTTTGAGTTGACTCAAAAGTCACCTTGGATCGGAGGTGAGTGGGTGGGGTATACGGAATAGAGTGGGGCGATAGGAGGCTGCGCACCTGGGAGGCTCGGACACGTCCCTGGTCGCTGCTGCTGTGAAGAGCATTGATGACATGCTGGGGCGACTTTTGACTGGGCTGGATGGATGGCAGGCGCGGTGAGGCAGCGGGGAGGTAAGGTCAGAGCTTCTGAGAATTCTCAAAAGCGGGATGGTAAGGTCGGGGCTGGTGGTGGTGAGAGAGCAGACGAGAGTGGGAGAGACGAATGGGCGGGTGCAAGGGAGGCCCGGACACGCCTCCGGTTGCTGCTGCTGTGAAGCGCATTGATGACATGCTGGGGCGACTTTTGACTGGGCTGGATGGATGGCAGGTGCGGTGAGGCAGCGGGAAGGTAAGGTGGGAGCTGGTGGTGGTGGTAGTGGGGAGAGAGCAGACGAGAGTGGGAGAGACGAATGGGCGGGTTCAAGGGAGGCCCGGACACGCCTCTGGTTGCTGCTGCTGTGAAGCGCATTGATGGACCCCCATCCCTGTCAACTCCCCTCCATCCACTCCCTCCCGTCCAACCCCCCCCCCACCCCACCCCACCCCCTCTTTTCCGTCCATGAACTTCCTTGTAAGAGCATAACCAACGACGTGAATGTGCTGCCAGTGAGCGACCATGGCATGCTGGCCACATGCAAGTCGCGCGTCATCTCTCTGGAGCAATTCGAGCCGTTCATCCCGGGCCTCTCCCGTCTCTCAGCCCCTTTGAGAAGCATGTGCCAGCAGCTTCCGTCCCTTCCACCTGCCTCTGAAGCCCCCCTCCCAACATCCTTTCCCGTTTCCCAAATTTATTCCCTCCCCCTCAACTTCCTTATAGGAGCATGACCAACGATGTGAATCTGCTGCTAGTGAGCGACCATGGCATGCTGGCCACATGCAAATCGCGAGTCATCTCCCTGGAGCAGTTCGAGCCGTTCATCCCCGGCCTCTCCCCCGCTTGGATCGACTTCAGCTACCCGCTTCTCGGCATCTTCCTCCCGCAAACAGACGCGCAACGCCGCCCGGGGTCTGCCGGCCAGGACTTTCGGATGGATGCGGCAGCAGTCGTGGGGGCTATGAGGAGGGCGATTGAAGGGGGGGGCATTGTGAATGGAGAGGCGCTGAAGGTGTATTTGAGGGAGGAGTTTCCTGCGGAGTTTGAGTTTTCGGGAAGCGACAGAATACCAGTAAGTTCTAGGGCGTCTCAAAAGGTGGTGGTGGTGGAGGTGGGGGCGATCAGGAAGGCGATGGAGGGGGGGAGCATTGATTCGTGTTGATCTTGCATGACTCCTTAACGATTCTTCACAGCTCGTTGTCTGGTCAGAGTGACAATCTGCGTAACGTATCGAACCATCTTCTTATTGTGTGTGATAAGTCACATCTTTTGTCCGAGCTGCATGTTGTATCTACCCAAGCTCCTCCTAATCTCTCTACAACGCCTCTCACCCTTAACCATTTCCGCTTTTGCCAGGCTATCTTGGCGCTGGCAGATGAGGGCTACTCGGTGGTATACCACCACTCGTCAGCATGGGATGGGGGCATGCACGGCTACGACAACCGCCTTCCCTCCATGCGCTCCATCTTCATGGCCCGAGGGCCGCGCTTCGCCTCCCACCGCAGAATACCCACCTTCAGGAACACAGAGGTGAGATTTCAGAGAATGTTCTTAGGGTGGCTAGACAGCGCAACAACAGGTTAAATCTTTTAGGTGATTGGAAAATCTATAGGTGACTATGAGTTGCCAGAGAATGTTGAAACGTGGGTTCAATCTTCAGGAGGATGCACACATGCGTGGACGAATCTTCGGTGATTGTTCAACGATGAATATGAGTCTTCATTTTCCCCAACCTTCATCTCTCTCTACCCTTCATCCTCTCAACCCTTCATCCTCTCAACCCTTCATCCTCTCTACCCTTCATCCTCTCTACCCTTCATCCTCTAAACCCTTCATCCTCTCAACCCTTCATCCTCTCAACCCTTCATCCTCTCAACCCTTCATCCTCGCTACCCTTCATCCTCTCAACCCTTCATCCTCTCAACCCTTCATCCTCTCAACCCTTCATCCTCTCAACCCTTCATCCTCTCAACCCTTCATCCTCTCAACCCTTCATCCTCTCAACCCTTCATCCTCTCAACCCTTCATCCTCTCAACCCTTCATCCTCTCAACCCTTCATCCTCTCTACCCTTCATCCTCTCAACCCTTCATCCTCTCAACCCTTCATCCTCTCAACCCTTCATCCTCTCAACCCTTCATCCTCTCAACCCTTCATCCTCTCTACCATCATCTCCTCCCCATATCCATCGCCTGCATCCCTGCAGCTGTACAGCGTGATAACAAGCATCTTAAACATTGAGCCTGCCCCGCACCCAATAATGGACCCTTTATTTTCCTTCATCGCTCTCGTTTTAGTCGACTCAAGAGGTCGACTCGAATGTGATAACAAGCATTCTAAGCGATGAGCCTGCCCCGCACCCAACAATGGACCCTTTATTTTCCTTCATCGCTCTCTTTTTAGTCGACTCAAGAGGTCGACTCGAATGTGATAACAAGCATTCTAAGCGATGAGCCTGCCCCGCACCCAACAATGGACCCTTCATTTTCCTTCATCGCTCTCTACCCTTGGTATCTCGCCATCGTGCATTTCTCTCTATGCATCCTACCGCCCCGTCCAGCTGTACAATGTGATTAGAAGCATCTTGGAGATTGAGCCTGCACCCAACAATGGATTCTTTATTTCTCTTTCCTTCATCTCTCTCTACCCATCTTACTGCCCCATGCAGCTGTACAATGTGATAACAAGCATCTTGGAGATTCAGCCTGCATCCAACAATGGGTCCTCGTCTTTTCCAGACACTATACTAGTCTAACGCTGGGCTACACTCTTGGGGCTACAATCTTGGGGCTACACTCTTGGGGCTACACTCTTGGGGCTACACTCTTGGGGCTACACTCTTGGGGCTACATCACTCTCAGGGGCTACACCTTTCGAGCTACACTCTGAGGGCCTACACAAATAGGACGCGTCAACTCCCATCAGATTGGCACGATCGATCCTGCGCAGGATCGAATTTTGATGGCTTTTAAAATGGTCTGGAAAGTTTTGAACTCCAGTAGCAGGTTTCCAGTGCGGTGTCTGATTGAAAATGCACGATCGATCGCCTAATTCAGCGGGAGTTGACGCGTCCTTACCTTAGCGTCATGCACTCTCGAGGCTACGCTGTGGAGGCTACACTTTCGAGAGAGCACTTTCGAGGCTTCATCAACCCACAGTTGATATCCTTATAAGAAAACACTGCAACTGATGTTCCAATTCAAATTGACTCTACAGTCAAACCCTAGCAAATCGTTCCATGCTTCAGGCAAGTGTCTAATCCAACCCAACCCAATTCAAGCTCGAGTAGCAACCTGCCAGAAATCGACTCCAAAAATCAATGGAACAAAACCACATGGAGCGCCACCGCAGCAAGCGCAGCAGGCCACCATCCCCACCACGCTCCACCCCTAAGCACCAAACTCAACCCCGCGCTGTTTTCCCCAGAGCCTGTAGTGTTTGATGTTGAATCAGTGGGAGTTGAACCAGTGGGAGTTGAACCAGTGGGAGTTGAACCAGTGGGAGTTGAACCAGTGGGTGCTGCCGAACCACTGGGCGTCGAACCATTGGTTGCCGAACCATTGGTTGCCGAACCATTGGCATTGGTCCCGTTGGGCGCCGGAACAGAGGGTATTGGCTCAGGCACAAAATTTCCAGGATTGTTTGAAGTCGCAGCACACGTGGCAGGCACAGCCCGGTCCACCACCCACGGAAGCACTTCTGACACGTTAGAGAATTTCGGGTTTTTCGGGCACTCCATGGGGAAACCCGTTAGTTTATCGCAGCAGAGGGGGGTTTGCGCGTATTTATCCCCTGGCGCTGTCAGGAAGCAACTGTCCGTTCCGTTTTCGGCGGGAACTAGCTCGGTGTTGAGGGTGTTTAGGGGGGTTGCGGTGCCGGCAAGCGGAGTCACGACGAGTGACAGAAATTTCTGAAAAGAATGTGCAAGGATTCGCAGGCAGAGAGGGGGAGGCGGGGGGAAGGGAATGGGGGAGGGAGGGGGAGGCAGGGGGAAAGGAAATGGGAATGGGTCAGAAAGCTACAGGACGGGGATTTGAACGTATGCAAGGGGTGTTGCCGCACCAGCAAGCGGAGTGACAACCAGTGACATAAATTTCTGGGAGGACAGCATGTGCAGGATTTTGAAGAGTGAGGGAAGGGGAGAGGGTGGGGGGGGAAGGGGTGAGGGTTTGAGGGGACGGGGAGGAGTACAAGGGGAGGGGGGAAGGGAATGGTAAGAAAAACATGATTGGAAGGTGTTGGCGAATGTGTGGCAGGACATGTTCTGTAATTGATAAAGTACCAGCAAGCGGGGTCACAATGAGTGACAGGGATCTTTGGGAAGACAGAGTGCGTACGATTTATTTCAGGGAGAGGGAAGGGGATAAAGGGGAGATGGAGGTGGAGGAGTGGCTGGGGTAAGGGGAAAAGAGAGATAGTTATAGTTGAGAGGTGCTGAGAAATGCGTGGGGGTTTGCAGAGAATAAAATTATGTGGGTACAAAATTGGACAGCGGAGGGGAAGAGGAAGCGGCAACGGAGGGCGAAAGCAAATGGTCAGAAAATCATTAGTGAGAAGGAGGTGTTAGGAAATGTGATGGAAAATGAAGTGACGGCAGAAGAAGGCACAGAGTGTAGGCTTGAAGGGAGAGAGAATAAAATTATGTGGGTACAAAATTGGACAGCGGAGGGGAAGAGGAAGCGGCAACGGAGGGCGAAAGCAAATGGTCAGAAAATCATTAGTGAGAAGGAGGTGTTAGGAAATGTGATGGAAAATGAAGTGACGGCAGAAGAAGGCACAGAGTGTAGGCTTGAAGGGAGAGAAATGGTCAGAACAACAGAGGCTGAGGGAGGGGAAAGGAGGAGGCGGGCAGGGGAAATGGGGAAGGGGGGAGGAAGGGTAGTTGGGGGGAGTGGGGGGAGGAGGGGGGGTGTTGGGGAATGTGAAGGGGATGTAGCGCCAGTAAGAGGGGTCCATGACTCTCTAGAGTGATCGTTGGGAGGACATAGACGGGTAACGGAACCGCGTATCGCAGCCAGAAAGGAGAAATCGGATAGCTGGACAACGAATTCGCAGTTACATTTGTGGGGAAAGTTGGTTCGGTTCGGGTGAAACTACAATTGGTAGCTGCAGCACGTACCGAAGGGTTCTTAAGCAAGCTCGCGATGGTGAGCGGCTGGTAAAGAGACGACTTTTTAGGCGGCACAAATACACATACCGCGGGGTTTTTAATCAAGCTGGCGATGGTGAGCGCGACGCCGGGGAACGCGAGCGACTGGCACGCGTCGTACACGCGGTTCGAGAAGTCGTTGCAGATGCGGATCGTGCCGTTGCTGTCCGCGAGCTTCCCCGACGGCGCGAGCTCGAACGAGAGGTACTTGCTCGCGCCCGGGTCGCACATGATGGCGCAGTAGAGCCCCTCAATCAGCTGCAGACACGTGTCGCTTCCGCCCGCCAAGAATCCGCAGAACTGGTGGGGGGAAGGGCGCGGGGGAAGGGCGCAGAGAAGGGTTTTTTTCTGAGAGGTCGATCGGGAGGTACTTGCTCGCGCCTGCATCGCACGTGATGGCATAGTAGAGTCCCTCAATCAGCTGCAGACACGTGTCGCTCCCGCCTGCGAGGAACCCGCAAAACTGGAAGAGGCGAAGAACGAGGTGAGGGTAGGGGGGAGAGAGAGGGGGGTGATTCTGAGAAGTTGGTACTTCCACGTGCCGTCAAACAGTATCGCGCAGTAAAGCCCTTTGAACTCGGGTGGAGGGGGGGAGGGGGAGGGGGGGAGGAGGGGGGGGGGGGAAGGGGGAGGGGGTTGGGGGAGGGGGTTGGGGGAGGGGGGGAAGGGGAAGAAGAGGCGGGGATGGGGGGGGGGGGGTTGTGGGTTGGGGGCGGGGAGGGAGGGGGGAGAGGAGGATGATGCATGCGATGAACCAGGTATAGGATGAAACGCGTTAACGCGGATTTTGAAAATTTACAAAACCGCCTACAAAACCGATCCTTTATTTACATTAAAAAAAAGGGTACCAAATTCATTGTAATGCTCCTTTTAAATTGGCTCGGAACCATCATAGCAAGACGCCATTGAGTGGCCAGAAAGCTGGGCAATGTAACGCTGGTACAAAAGGATCAAAAGACGAACACGATGATTCAAGCTTACTGGCGTGGCCTTAAATTTGTCCAGAACTTCAAATGTTCTCGATATATTAATTTAATATATAATATTTGCGAAATTTAATGAAATAGGAAAAAGGCGCACGCTGGTTCAAGCTTACCGGCGTGGCCTTGAACTTGTCCAGCGCTTCAAATGTGGTGCCTGGAGAGAAGAGCGTGGACAGGATTCTCGTTCCGTTCTGTCCGAGCACCGTCGCCGCGGTGACCCAGTCGTCGCACGCGGAGCAGCACGCGAGCTCGCTCTCAGCCACGCATCGGTACAGCGGCTTCGCGGGCTTCGTTGGCGGCTTGCCTGTGAACGGACAGATCTGCTGCGCGGACGCAACGACTGCGAGCAGGAGTAACGGGATGGCGAACGACAGAATGCCGCGAGGCACGGCGCGGGTCATGGTTCCGCAGGGTGCAGGGGGAAACAAGCAATACAAAGTGTTCAAAACCGGTACAGCTCAATTTTTAATCTGAGAAGCTACGAAGGCGCGAACCTGAACCAGCTGAACATAAGGATTTTGAGCTGAAAAGTATGGGAACAATGGCTATGTAGGGGATTGTGAGAGGCACGGGCGAGGACCTCGAGTGTCCTTGTCTGAAGGATCAGGCAAACCTTCCTTTCCCACACGCCTGTGCTTTTCTTATGGCTGCTTTCATTCCCCCACAGGCGCACCCATTTTGGTCTTGATCTTCCGAAACCTGGTCCCCCGATTCCAAGAGATTGACGTGTCGCTGATGAGACCAGCCACGTCCGAACCGAACTGACTAGCTTTGGCGCCTGGGCTCCACACACCGAACGTAACACACTAGCCTCTCCCCTCACCAGCCGAGATTCTTTGGCGGCTGGACGATTAGGTTCGGGATGTTGTGGGTCAGATATCTACACAGCCTTGGTGAGGTGAGTGCGCAGAGCAGTTGGCTCGGAAAAGGCAACCAGAGACGGAGCTCCGGCTAGGCAGACGTGGCTCGTAGCCACCTTCCTCAGCTTGGAAGCGGCTTGTGGCGGGGCGCGCTGGAGAAATCGGTGGGCGGTGCTTGCTGCAAGGCGAGGCAAAAGCATGCTCTCCAATTGGCTGGCTTGACCGAAGGGAGTTTGCAGCGCATTGCAAAATCTTGAAATAAACGTGTACACGCATTATGTGGCTTCGAGCAGCACTTACAATACTAAGATTCAATATTTACATCAACACTTCCTAGTTGCTACTACTCTGGTGCAATCTTTCTTAATCTTTCTAGCAATTGCTTTGTGGTGGGTCGGCTTCCCCAATCAGGCTGAATCGCATCACATATCGCAAACACCACCACTCGCACCTCCTCCTCGCTCCACTGCCCCTCCAGACTCTTGTCCACCACTTGGGAGTAGTCTGAGAGATTGGGATCGGTGGCGAGGTTTTGCAGTTGTGAAAACGGTCGGTCATTTACACAGCAGCCCGAGAGGAGTTCCAGCAAGAAGATGCCCCACGCAAAGGTGTCACAGTGCTCTGTCAGTAAGCCTGGTGGGTGGTGAGTAGGGGAAAGGAGGGGAGGGTAGGGGGATTTTCAAGTCGACTCAAAGGTCGCAGCAGCTCAAGAGGAGTTCTAGCAGGAAAATGCCCACGCGAAGATGTTACAGTGCTCTGTTAGTAAGCCTGATAGGTGGTGAGGTGGGGGGGAGAAGGTGGAGGGGGGAGGGGAGGGGAGGATAGCGGAGGGTAGGGGACGGAACAGGAGGGGAGGGGAGGGTTGGAGGGGGGAGGTTGGAAGATGATGGTGACAGCACCAGTGCCAGCTCCAGCGGTGGCAGTAGGCCTTTACGCAAGAAGGCTCTTTTCAAGACAAGGCGTTTTGAGATCTGCTTTTTTACCACTATTTTCTCACGGTTGATCCTGTTGCTCAAGCGTCGCCTTCACGTACTGCTGCCCTTCAATTACGAGTCAAGAAGTGCCAGCACCAGCGGTGGCAGTAGTAAAGGCACCCGAAGAAGAAACACAGATGCACCGGTGGGCTGAAAAGGACCTCACCTGTCTCAAAATACGAAGGTTCGATGTAGCCCTGCGATCTTTGAGACGTCTCAAAAAAGTAGTGTGAAGTGCCCAGAGGATGAAAGACAGATGCATTGGTAAACTGGAAGGCACCCCACCTGTCTCAAAATACGAAGGGTTGATGTAGCCCTGGGAGCCGGCGACGTGATAAAAAGTCGGGTTTTGAGACGTCTCAAGAAACACAGATGCATCGGCGGGCGGAAAAGCACCCCACCTGTCTCAAAGTATGAGGGGTCGATGTAGCCCTGCGAGCCGGCCACTCGTGTCGTGACATGTGTCCTGTCCTGGCATGTCTTGGCTAACCCAAAATCCGCCACCTTTGGCACGAGGTCCTGGGAGGGCACATGCAATAGAGTGACACAAAAGGTCGAAAAGGAAAAAAGAGAGGATATTTTGCCATCTGGGAGGGAGTCAGAGCTTGGTGAGAAGCACGTTGGCATGAGTCACCTTGGTTTGATGCACATTACCAGGACTCCACTGCCTTAGAAGCTCATTCAAAGGATATTCGTTAGACGCACATTGAGTGACTCATTTTGGCATGACCCACCTTCGTTAGAAGCACGTTGGCAGCTTTGAAATCACGGTGGATAAAGCCCTCCTTGTGGATCGCTGCTAGCCCGCCACCACACTCCCCACCGCTATGCTCAGCCGGTCCTTCCAGGGAAAGGGCTCTATGCCCTTGGCTGCTGCTTGCACACCCAACAGACAAAAGAGAAGGGAGGGGGGTGGGAGAAGGAGAGAGACAGAAAAGGGTGGGGGGAAAGAGAGTATGTGCACCGCATCACACCATGCCACACACACACCTCACAACATCGCACCTGGCGCTCCTTCTCAATCTCCTACGACACAGCCGAGAGGCAGTGCGAAACTTCCATCGAGTTGAAAAAAGAAAAAAAACACATGGGACGACACGACACCTCACAACACATGGGTGCAACACATATGTTGTGAAGTGACGTGCAGCATCGCATGATGGGTGCAGCATCGCATGATGGGTGCAGCATCGCATGATGGGTGCAGCATCGCATGATGGGTGCAACACATGGGACGCCCTTTTTCTTAGAACCCTTTGCATCATGACGACACGTCACCTCACAACACAGCATCGAACGCATTACCTTTCAAAAGACACTGAGAAACACTCCTGCTCGGGAAGAATTCAAAGACCACTGACATGGTTTGCCCCATAACGTGTGTGTGCACATGCTCACCCCATTCCACCGGATTACACCCCATTCCACCACTTTCCACCCCTCTGTACCTTTCCCTAACTGCTGAGAAACATCCACCCGGGACGAACTCAGAGACCATTGGAATGGTTTGCCCCATCATGTGTGCACATGCTCTGCCCATTCCACCACACTGCACTCCATTCCACCGCACCCCTCTGTACCTTCCCCTAGCCGCTGAGAAACATCCCCACCCCCACCCGGGACGAACTCAGAGACCATGGAGATGGTTTGCCTATCATGTGCGCACATGACCACCCCATTCCACCGCATTCCACCCCACCCTACCTTTCTCTAACTGCTGAGAAACATCCCCGCCCGGGACGAACTCAGAGACCATGGAGATGGTTTGCCTATCATGTGCGCACATGACCACCCCATTCCACCGCATTCCACCCCACCCTACCTTTCTCTAACCGCTGAGAAACATCCTCCCGCCCGGGACGAACTCAGAGACCATGGAGATGGTTTGCCCCCACATGGCAATCCCCAGCAGCCGCAGCACGTTGGATGGCGGAGCCGTCATCACCATGATCTCTGTCTGAGGGGGGAGGGAGGAGAGAGTAGTGGAGAGGGCGGGTAAATCGGGTAGCAATAACACATCAGGTTAATAGCCGAGAGTCGTCATCACCATGATTTCTGTCTGAGAAGGTAGGGAGGAGGGGAGAGTTGGGGAGGAGAAGAGAAGGAGGGGGAGAGGGGAAGGGGAAGGGAAAGGGACAATGGCAGAGAGCCGTGATGACCATGATCTCCGTCTGAGAATAGGGGGAGAGGGGTGGGGGGTCAGGGGGGTGGAAAAGGCAATGGAAGGGACAATGAATGGCTGAGAAAGCAGGTCAAGTTAACTTGGGCAGAAGGAGGTGAGTGTGAAGCATGAGGAGCAGAGCAGGTGTACATGAAGCGAGTCACTTTCGTGAATCCCCAAAAGTGTGTGTGATGTGAAGCATGAGGAGCAGAGCAGTTGCACATGAAACGTGCACCCGAAAGTGTCAGGAGGAACTGGCTTATCGCTCCAGCATGGCAGGCAAAGGCTCACCAACA